TTTTTTTCAGGTCTGATTTTCACTATTGCTCAAATAGTGCTTTACTGCGAAGGATCGTGCACATATACGTTTCATAACCGCAGTTCATACATATGTTTCATATGTTTGTTGTTGTTTGATTTATCATCTACGGGTTTATGTCGAATTAATTTGATGGCCTGCTCCCAGTTGGCTTGTTAGCTCAATTGGTAGAGCGCTGCACTAGTATCGCAGAGGTCAGTGGTTCGAATCCCGTACAGGCCTGAAATTTTTTTTTTCAGGTCTGATTTTCACTATTGCTCAAATAGTGCTTTACTGCGAAGGATCGTGCACATATACGTTTCATAACCGCAGTTCATACATATGTTTCATATGTTTGTTGTTGTTATAAGTGTTACTGTTATTTCATTAGAGCTGCTTTGGTGGGCTCTTCGCCCATAAAACGTGGCTTCGCAGCTCGGTTGGTTGCAGCGCCTCAACAGCCATCGGCTCGAATCCCAGCGATGTTGGAATTTTTTCAGACTTCTTTTCTACTATTTCTTCAGTTGCAGCTCACGTACAAGCGAGGGACGTACCACCAGGAGAGTATTGGCTGGAGGTCTTAAAAGGGGCAGTTATCCTCCCACGACGGAACGCTTGGTCACGGGCCTCCCAATCGCGGAATTTCGTTTTTTTAATCTTTGAAATAAATGCATGTATTTGCACTTTACGGTCTCTTAAATTTTTCCGATTGCTTTTTGGTCACTGCTAGTGATGTTTGCCTGCACTGCACGGCAGATGTACATAGTGTAACAGGCCATCAAGTATGACCTTTTAAGTGTGGTTTAAAAGAAGCGAGCAACGGACGAAAAATCAACATTGATCCAAAAAGAAACTCGCTTTATTGATATTCTCTCGAAGAGTGAAAAACAAACGCTTTACAGAGGGAATAATGTGAGTTCCTGTGCTTCTTAGAACACCATCTCATTAAAATCACATACTCGATCAGTTCCCAAGAATATAGTCACAAGAAGTCGCTAATCTATTATTTACAAGAAATTAAACTTACAGAGAGTCTTATTGCTCTTTTTCTGATCGCATTCGTTAAATGAAATGAAATGTAAAGTCTACCTTCGTTGATGGCAGTAATGGCATATTAGGGTTGATGAAACACTCAACTTATACAGCGTATACAACTGTACAACTTTTCTGCTATTTTAGCTCGAGGGTATAGATTTAACTGCAACCTTAACCAACAAATTAAAATAAAATCAGCGCCTTTTGCACACCTTTGCATGATCATGCAACTATATCGCAATTTACAATAATTCGCATAATACAAGCGAAATAGTTATTTCCCGTAATTAATTAGGACGTAACTTAGACATACTAGATAACGCCAGCGTGCTACATATTTCCACACTGTATGCTAATCTAGGTAAGCAAGAATTGCAGCAGATTTGATTTCTTTTATAAAAAAAACTCTGACAAGTTCGTTCCAAATTACTATAAAAACGATTGGTTCATGAGTGGCTTTACTTTCATCCAGACACGAAACTCTTGGAAAGTTTGGAGGGCACTCAAGAATTAAAAGTTACTACTGGCTGCCCCTCGACCGACTCTTACGTAAGCATCTTTTGTGCTCTCTAAACTTCCCACTTCACTTCATAACTCGATGAATAAAGCTTGACCAAGCAATATCCAATTACAACTGACTAGCTATATGTAATCTATAAGCAAGAGGGCCACATGCTGTCCAATTTTGGAAATAATTGGATTAAAAAAATTCCTCTGACAGCCAATTTGGACTCGCCCTAAGGCCTCGTTCAATTGTCCTCAGAATTATTTTCATCCCATTATTTCCAAATTGGACGGCATGTAGTCCTACCATATACACAAATCAGGAGAATGTTTCCCCAGAAACTCTCCTTATGTCATTTCTATGTGCATTTGCTCAGTGGACTTCTGAAAAGCACGTTATGTACAAAAAAGCACCAAGTGACCATTTGTGTTCTGAATAAAATAATAATAATAATAATAATAAT